GATCCTCACAGAACTTAGGGGGCGAGGGGAGGTTTTACTATTAAAGAAACCCAAACAAATGAATCCTAGTTACCAATGTTATGGAATGACTTTGAACAATAGTAATCAAGTCCAGCTTTTGACTGTAGTTTTATGTTTTTAAAAGAACCTGACATATGGGAAATATTATTTTAGCCAATGTTGAGACAAGTGCTAGAATTTCTTTGTAAAATGGTTATGGGATGGTTTTTTCAGCTTGCATTCTTTTAAAGAAGTATTCACATTTGAGATTGAAAGTTCTTATGGATATTTTTTCTACACATGCAGTCTGCAAACAATGTATGGAAAATGTACTCTTTGTAAAGCCTCCAATTGTGTGGAATGTCATACAAGTGAAGCCACATTATAATAAGCACATGGAGCTATAAGGACTACTTTGTTCTTGACCACATTCAAGGTTGATTGGAAGCAAGTCAAGAAGCAAGAGGGTGAAGTGCAGTTGTACTTTCCCCAGTTGGGAGGGTTAAGCCTTGGGAAGATCACTACCAGAACATTTCACAGAACAGAATGGGCACAAAGCAGTGAGAGGACCATATTCCACAAATAGCCTTTAAAAATGCATTAGGAGCTCCGAGGAGGAACACAAGTGTATGAAGGGCAAATCTCAGCCTGGTAAGAAGTGCAGTATAGGCCAGATGTACAGAGAGGATATGAGTGGCTTCCAGAGCACAGAGCAAGGCCTTGCTCCTGTACAAGTGAGAACTTGATGCTTCTTACTGACAATTCACAGCTGGACTGAAGCTACTCAGGCAGGTGTCAGTGTGTGCAATATGCAGCTCTAAGGAAAACTACGCTGGTGGGAATGGAGCTCAATGCAAAATGCTTCCCTGTAAGCTGTATTTAGATGGCCTCAGCCACTTGGGAGTCCCACTTGGGGGTCTTCTATGGAACCTATATTTTTCATTCAAAGATCTGAGCAAGAGGTATGCTCTGCACATACAGAAAAGTTAAAAGAGGTACCTCCACTTTATACTGATTAAAGCTTTTGATTCAGCATTTGAGAGACTGGGTTTCCTTTCTTGGGTATTCATTCTGTGCTGGGGGACAGGCAGCTCTTACCTACTTGACAGGAGTCTCCAGTGAGAAGCTGTATGGGACAGGAGCAGTCTTCACTTCTCTAGCTGAAGGTGGGTCACTATGCAGCAAAAAACAACACTGAGCCTGCCTGCTCCTGGTGCAAAGGCATTCTGGGATGAAATGGTCCCTTTAAGAACTATTTTTATTAATTATCTGAGGAATGAAGCCAGACTATGTCCAATTTCAGAATACTGTACCCATAGAGTAATAAACCCTCTCAAACTTACTATTGATGATCCTGGATCATCTATATCCAGGATTAATTCATTACCTTTTCCATGTATTAAAGAAAAAAAGAATTAGGAGCATTTATTTTTCTTTGGTTGCACTAAATATAATTTGTTACTGTGTTTTGTAATGTGCCTCATTAGGCTGCTGTGCACTTAGTGTACTAGAGCAATTGCCTTCTTTCTTTAAATCGTTTGTGGAAACAGATGAAAACCTGTTTTCAGGATGCTGGTTGTCCTTATGGGCACATAAAGCAGAGTTATTTGCTCTGTTAAAAGACTTGAGTGTGTTTGTACAATCAGACTGTTCCACACCCAAGGATGTTTTTAAGATCTTTGACTGTGGCTCAGGACAGCCTCAGTGCTTCTGTAGCTGATATGTATGTAGGACTTTGAGGATAGCAATCCTGGGATTAGATGCGTAAATTTTATCAAGGTCCTATTAAAATTTTAAGGGGTTTGATCCTTAAGGAAACTTAGGTTTCTGTCCCTCACAGTAATGTTGGTGGGAGATGGTCACTGCAACAGATGTAAGAATCTGGCCCTGTGGAAGTGGCAGGAGCTGCTCCACAAAGTTCCAAGAGATGCAGTACTCCGAGCGTCTGGTTCTAGCAAAGCTGCTTGGAGGCATTTCTTAGTTTGGTGGTTTACTTGGTTTTTTTAAGTTTAGGCAATCATATTTAAGCAGAGGTATACAGCTGCTTAATATCTGGGCTTTTTTTAGCTTTTAAAAGCACTAAGATTTTTCGTTCCTTCCAGAAACAGCAAGCATATGTTAATGAAAGGAATTAAATGTTAATGTTCTTTGGTGACATCAGTAAAAAAGAAAACAAAACAACAATAAAACATAAACAAAAAACCTCAACAACTTTAAAAGCTCATAAGTCGAAACCTCTTGCAAAATGAATTGTATTTTTCAGTATCAAATTTATTCAACAGGCATTTTGGATACATGGAAGCAGAGGATCAGGTCTGTAAAGTGGTGAAGAGGTGAAAGAAGAGGACAGCAAATCTATGTACAGAAATGCTGTCTCTGTATTTCTGGAAAACACAAACCTTTTAAGGATTTAATACATTTAAGATTTTGCAGTGTAGTACAAATCTATTCAACATGTCTAATTAACATGGAGTGAAAAAACTCTCCAGAACAACTTACTTAAATGTGGATATTTCCTTGGTATGAGTTAGCAATATTCTGTAAATTATTGTCTCTTACAGCAAGAAAAAAAATCATCAGATGATTTACCCAAAGTTACATTACTGGGAAATGTTGGTGTTTCTTTTGGGTTTTTAATAATGATTTTTTAAATGCAAAAATATTTTTAAATAATTGAAAATAAATTCTACCTACAGATTTTAAGTATTTTGCATTTGTATTTCTGCCTTTAATATTAAAATAAAAGTAGGTTTTCACAATCTTGAGTCATCAAAGCTAAATGGTAGGGAGGATGGGCATGTGGGGATTTCCTAACACATCACTGGACATGTTAGGAACTCTGTGCTGCACTTCATGTACATACTACTGAAGAATATAAAGAAGGAAACTAGAGTTTAGGGATCCTTTGTGCCTACGTTTTATGACTGGAATGCTTGGGACAAAAAAAGAAGCTTTAAAAGAGGTAAAATGAATTGTCAAGATCATATGTTATCTTGCCTGCTTTGATCTGAGTTCAGAGTCCTCTGATTTCAGTGCTGAATCCTCTGAATTCAAAGCTGAGTTTTCTGAAAGCCCTTTATAATTATATGGCTTGTGGGGTTTTAAGTTTTCAAACCTACATTATTCAGAGATAAAGGAAATACAGAATTTACTTTCATGTAATTTCTGTTCTAAGAAGTATTTTCCTATCTTAAAGTAGTTTCTAAATTAATGAAACATAAATTGTAAATCTACATTAACAGTATTTAAAAATTATAAATGTAAAGATTTTGTTGAGAGTGCAATGATTTAATTTAGAAACAAAGATTCTTATTAACTGGAATTGTATAGCAGACATACCAAAGGCAAGTTGTAACCATATCAGTGCTATTATCTTTTTGCAAAAGCAACCATAGCTGCTTAAGAGAAACATGCCATTCATTGCTTTAATACAATACAAAGATACATTAAACTAATCTCTTTATTCTGCAAAGATTTAATGTTAAACAAATTGGTAATTTCTAATTAAACCTTTAAGATTACACATATAAATGTTTAAGTATACATCCCTCTTGTATTTAATGACGAGAGTCAGCCAAGATTCTGTTTAATGAACTATAGTTATTGTTATTGTGAAAAATGTTTCTTTCCTAGCAGGTTAACCTTTTATATTTGCTTATTCTATGTTTTAAAAACTTTTCTCCAGCTGTTGTTCCCAGGTTTTGTAGTGAAAGCTGGATGTTTTGAAATTTATTCCCTGAAAATAGAAGATGAGTGTTTTTAGAAGTGCTTGATTACATTAGTGTATGATGCTAGTGACACAGATGACAAGGTTAAGATAAAAGGAAGAAAAATATCTTAGATACTTTGGAAGAAAATCTATATTTAAATCCTTCCTTTCACATTCATTTAAAAATAATTTTTTATTTGAGTATTAATTCCCTAGATGATTGTGTAGGAAATGTTTTGTCTAAGTGTAAAATAAAGTACAGAGGAAATTCTAGAACAAATTGTGCATGTACTTTTTCCAGACAGAAAAGGTATTAACTCCATTGATAAAACCTTTTTGATAGGATGACATAAAATAGGAAGATTAATGATAAGATTAATATAATAATACTGAAGTGCATATATTCAGAATGCTCATGATCCAAGATAAGTCAGCACAGTAGCCACCTAATTTGGAAGGGCTTCAGATATTCCTTATTTGACTGCAAGTTCCCTAGGACCTGCAGTTCTGCTCTGCAGGTGAGTAGGGCAGCCTTGGATTGAAAAATTGAATTCAAACCTCACTAAAATCTCGTGGTGGTCCAGGAATATAGCAGAAGAACAGCTGTTTCTCCAGAAGAGACGAATCTGTCAGACACTCTGGTCATGGCTAGTGTGTGCTGCCAGGGTGGGCTTCACAAAATGTTTCTGCAGCCCAATTGGCTTTATGTTTGAAGGAGGGAGGGAGGTCCTAGAGCAACTTTCTGGAGCAATATCATGCCAGCTTTCTGAAGGAAACAGAATACTGGAGTGACAGGACAAGACCATGTCTCCAGGGACTGCACTACTTTATACCTCCTCTCTTGCCTCTGTCACATACAGCAAGATACCCGAAACTCATGGAAGGGAGATGCCAAAGCAAACATGACTTTGTAGCACACCCACCATTTTTACTTTATTTAAGGCTTAAAATAAGCATCACGCTTACATGAAAATAGCAATACATGTTCTGGAAATGTTCTTGTGAGATGATAATATCAAGCTGTCTCCTGCATGGTATGGGTGGCTGAGCTCAGATGTTTGCCAATGACGACACCAATGAATAAACAGGATGTGAGAGATGCTTGGCATCTGATCAGGAACACTCAAGATGAGGGAGCTTACACAGGAATTGCAGATACATACAGTAGATGTTGAGTAATAATACAGAAAATTAGTCCTGTAATCAGGGCTGGGCCACGCCACAGCTTCTTCTGGTTTTCCTACTACTTTGGGATTTCTAGTAAAGTAATGAAATGCACTTCTCTTTTCAGTGTTCTGTTACCTGTGGAAAAGGCTTGAAGTTTCGTGATGTGCATTGTTTTAATAGCTTCCAAGGTAAAACAGAGGAAGAAAACTGCAGACATTTGAAAAAACCACGGACATACAAAATATGTAGAGCTGGAAGATGTCCTGCTTGGAAGGCCAGCAGTTGGAAAGAGGTAAGTAAAATCCGCTATAATTGTGTTCTCTGTGAGAATACAAGACAAGATCATATTCATGACACATGCTTCAATGGAAATAATTGTCAGAAAGGCTGTTTTTTTTTAGGCACACCACAGTAAAATCTAGGTAGTTAATTATATTTTCTTCTTCTTAAGAGTAATTCAAAGTAAGTACCTATGAAAACTAAGTAATCTGAACCTTGGACTGGAGAGGTACTTAGGACTTTCCTCAATTTATCTTGTATATTCAAGATAACAGTAAATTTTTAAAGTTTGCTTCTCACCTTCAGCAATAATTCTGTAGTATCACAGTAATTGCTATCATAGTCTGACTACTGAAGTGAAGCCAGGAAAGAAGAAAAAAGGCTTGTGAGCACAAAGACTGGCCTTTTGCTTGGTTTGATCTTGTAAAAAGATCTCTCACCTTGTTGTGAAACGGTGTGTAAGTGAGCACATAGCAATATTTTGCATGTCACTCTTTCAAAATACAATTGCCAACATTGAGAATTACCACTCTGCACAGTTTGGCCACACTTGATAGAGAAATATCTACTTAATGATTAGGCTTGAGTTTTTAGATAGGCTTTGAGACCTAATTGTGCTTCTGACTGGGGTGAAAGGAAACTGTCTGTCTCAGCAAGCCTTAGTGTTGCAGTGAAATAGCTTTGGCCAGGAAAGAGGAAAAGAGGTTTGTGACAGGAAGTATTGAACCTTTTTAAGCTCCTCAGGATTCAAAATCCTTAGTACTACCTGCAAAAGAAAGAAACGTCCTCCAAATACTGCATCATTTACAAGATTTTTCTAACCTGAAATAGATTTTTTTTTCTTACATTTTAATGTTTGCATTTTAAAACAACAGACAGGGGTGTCAGTTTCTATTAAAGGAATAATGTAAACTCAGAACTTACACTGTTTGATTTTGCAAACATGTAAACTTCTTCTTTGCATACGCCTTTAGTGATTGTTCCTGCTGTGAATTAAGATAAGCAGACATATCAGTCTAGGTAACCCAGATGCATTTGTTTTCTGTATTTCTTTAAAATTTTAATTTTAATTGTAGTATTACATTTTCAACATAAATCTCTTCAAATACAATGAAAAACTAGTAAGGGCTGTATGATGTATTTTAAATAATATCCTAAGAACTTAAAACAATGACAACTGTACCACCTAATGAGGCCTGTCTCATTTCACACTCCTCTTTTTGATCAATTTTAGTGCTCTGTGTCCTGTGGAGTGGGAATTCAGCAAAGGGATGTCTACTGTCAGCTGAAGGGCCTGGGTCAAGTGACTGAAGCCATGTGCAGTCGTGATCCCCGGCCCACTGGCCAGAGGCACTGCTGGCTGCCTGCCTGCCCGCAGCACCGCTGGGTGGCAGGGGGATGGCAGGATGTGAGTAAGGCTTTCACTTGTATCAAGTAACTGGGTGATGTCACAAGTGGTTTGGGTTTTTTTCTGGTTGTTTTTTTTTTTGTTTATTTCTTGCTTTTTTTTTTTTCACATTTGGATACATTTCTAATAGTTATGTTGCAGAATAACGAGTGACCGTGCTGGATATTTTAAAGGCCGAGCTTGCAAAAATAAAAAGAGTGGCAAAAAATGTTCAAAGGCTTCATCAAAGGATTTGCTTGTCTGCTGTTGTGGACAAAAGCTCTGGTGGAACTCTGATCCCTATTGATAAAACTCTATCTTGAATACAAAGGTTTTTTCCATATTACACAAAATATTTAATAAAACTTAATTATGAATTACTATTTTAAAATAACTTTTTAAGAATAGAAATACAAATCAAATGTCAGCTGGAAATAAAAAACTTGATAGTAAAACCTATCTGTGTGGAAGACTTACCAGAAAGGATATGCAGAATAAGTTCAGCATTCTCCTACTAAATATGCATTTTTATATTTAAGAAAATCTAAAGGATACCTTCAGGAGGGAGCTGTCATTGTTAAAGATGTGTAGACTATTTTCTGCATGCTAAAAGTTAATTACCTTCTGTATCCATTTATGCAAATAAACATATATAAAGAGAGAAAAAAGAAAACAAAAAATTATATGTAAGACCTGAAATGGTGTACAGAAAAGCCTGCCTCTTACTGTAACATTAAATGAAAGCCCAGTTTGTGCAGTTGTGGCATCTTAATAATCTGCACTGTCAAACTCCCTGGGGCAAACCCCCTGAAATTTTCAATATGACTCAAAAGTCTCAGGGACACAATGCTGCAGAAGTGACTGCTGTTAATATAGAAATAATTTGTTGGCATTCTGAAAAACCTGGGTCACATTAATGCAGTATGGACATATATATTCCTCCGCTAAGCTATACTGAGGGAAAGCTGACAATGCATGTTTTTTCCAAGTGTTCTCTTCCCATATGGAGCTATTAAAATTAGGAATTAGTGGAAATGTCTCAGAATGTCCTTTTAGTACAAATATACACTTTCAGAGAATGAGGGTGAATTTTCCTTTCCCATCAAACATTTGTATATTCCAGCTGGGTATTTGGAGCTCTCCACTACAAATGAATTGTGTTTCACTAATTCTTCTGACCAGTTCATAACTTTTTTCACATACATATTGCTGTCTGCTTAAAATTCCTGTGTTCAGTTCTCTTCTCTCACCAGATTCATATCTAGCCTGATGCATCTAGTATTAATAATTGTTCAAGTGCTTATCTGTCTGTGTTCCACTCCCGGAGCAGTAAATCCTCCACTGAACTGGTAATATTTTGCCCAGCTGTTTCAGCTCTGAGTGCTCATGTGTCATTTCCTTGCCTCACCAGTCTCAGCATAGCAGAGAAAATTCAGATCTAGCATTTCTCCAGATTGCAGCCAGGAGGCTGATAGCAGCAGCCATCATTCAACTAACAAATGTGCATTTTCATACTAGAGAGAACAAAGTCTACAAGACCAATGTATAAAGCAGAACGAAAAAAATTGCTCTGCCTGTCCTGCTTATTTCATGACTGGGTTGTTCCCTACATGCCTAATATTCTGAGCTACTCTGTGCCATTAAAAGATCAGGTGTTTCTGAAAGTTACACCAGCCCACTGTGTCCACCCTCTGTCCCCTGCAAGGAAGGTACCAAGCAGACAGCGCCAGGCTCTCCAAAGCGTCGCACAGTGGGAAGGCAAGAGGCAATGAGAGTAAGGTGAAGCCAGAGAGGTTCAAACTAGATTTCATAAAAAACATTTTCTTCATGAGGACAATTCAGGCAGCTGAGCGGGCAGCCCAGGGAATCTGTGCAGTTTCCATCCTTTTGAGGTTTTCCAGCACATGCCATAAGGGTTGTTGCTTTCTGGGTTTTACTGGTGTGTATCAAATGGCTAATAACTTTGTTCTGTACATGGCTAGTTTAAGTATAAAACCCGTGACTGTTCTTCTCCCACTCAGTGCTCAGCATCATATAGAAGGAAGGAAATACACCGAAATGTTAAGTGTGTGGATGAAAAGCAGCTCCAAGTGGATGAAAGGTTCTGTGATGCTGCCACTAAGCCCCCATCAACCAAAAACTGCAGAATAGCTCCCTCTAAGTATGTTGTGCTTACAGGAGAACTGTCCCAGGTAAAGTGATTATATTGCTCACACATCTTTTGTATATCTTTACGTTTAAGAGTATTATATTGCTGTAAATGTGAATTATGTGTGCAGAGGAAAAAAATATATATTTTCATCTGAATAGGAGTGCCTAAAATTTCTCTGCATTGAACCTTCCAATCAGCCATGATTTATTGTAGTGGCTTTTATCAGTCTTGTGGCAGCCCTCTGGGACCAATGAACACCAGCTAGAGGGCAGCTGGGCCTACTCTCTTGCAAGCTAATTTCACTGAACTAATTTCACTAAACACAATTCCTTTCCTTGATTTCAGTAAAGTGATGGATGAGTGCCTATTTCCCTTCCACACCTGCAGTAGCTACAAATGTGTGTATGTGTGTGCACTGCAGCTGAGAGAGAACTTCTCTGGAACCTCTGTGAGTTCTGAGAAGAGGGCAGAATCTCCTTGCATGCATAACTGTGGCACACCTTCACTTCTGCACACTGATGAACCAGCCCTGAGGTGCCACGCAGCAGATTAGAGGCTTTTGCCAAAGTCACATCAGAGCTGACTTACCTGTAACGGAAGGGCTGCAGAAAGGTATAGTTTCACAGAAGTAATGCCTGATTTTGGGGATTTTATTTCAGTGCTCAGCCAGCTGTGGGTTTGGTTACCAGCAAAGGATCACATACTGTGTTGGAATCCATTCTGTTCCAAATCTGCATGCCCGTGGCCTTCGAGCTGTGGTGTACCCAGAGTGCCCAGTAGAGCCATCCCCATACATCTATAGATGTAATATCAAAGGATGTTCACAAGCAGCTACCTGGAGAGTGGGAAAGTGGACCAAGGTGAGGACAGATGTGCAGGCTGATTTTTGATAGCTGTCTTAAACACAAGTGAATGGCAAAACTAATTTGCTGACATAATTATGTTAATTAATTGCTGCCTTCTAAACTAACTCTTGATGTCTGTCCACATCTAGTGCTCAGTGTCTTGTGGAGTGGGGATACAGGAGAGAACTGTAGAATGTACAACTGAAAATGGCTTATCCAGTGACTTGTGCCAGCCACGTCTAAAACCAGATGCCAGAAAGATCTGCCATGGGGAAGAATGTAAGTGATGGCTGCAATTTTCAGCTGCACTTAATGTTTTCCCAGGTTATTTATATAAAAGCTATACATTTATTATGCATTTAAATTATGCAAGTATGTCCTACAACTAAGCTCTATGCATAAAATATTCATGTGATTTATTCATTCATTTTGAAGGTGAAATTTTTACCACCTGCAAAGATATCCAGATTAAAAAAGGGATTAGAAAGGATGGTGAATACCTACTTAACATTAAGGGACGGATGATAAAGGTACTTTTAATATTTATCAGTTTTAATAAGCACAGATTTTTATGAAATAGTACTTTTCCAATAAAGATTTTGCTAAAGGATTGTATTTCCTCTTGCAGATTTATTGCTCAGGCATGCACTTAGAGAATCCCAAAGAATATTTAACACTGGTAAAAGGTGAAGCAGACAACTTTTCTGAAGTATATGGATACAGGTACAAAAGTGGTTTTGTAACCTTATAAAGTGCATTTATTTCTTCTAAAATAAAATAATAAAATAACAGTTTTGTGACAAAAGATGAGTAGGGATTTTTTTGCCTTGATTTTCTGCTTTTATTATCCAGGTATATGAATGCAAAAATGTGGATACTTCTAGGCTGAAATAGTGTTCATTAAACTATACGGAACTAGATGATCTTTAATGTCGCTTCCAACCCAAACCATAGTGCTGTTTCACTGTGATTCTGTGTTATGGAAAAATGCCAAAAGGAAAACTAAATCTTCACTATTCCCTAGGTTGCAGAATCCATATGAATGTCCTTTCAATGGAAGCAGAAGGCAAGACTGTGCCTGTCGAAATGATTACCTTGCAGCTGGCTTCACTGTTTTTAGCAAAATCAGATTTGATGTAGCCTCCATGCAAATTAAAAGTAAGCATTTTGGCAGTTTTAGCCAGTGTCAATGTTCTATTGAAATTGCACTAGTCTTGATAATGAAATTCTCATTTGACCTAATTATAGATCCAATTATGCCATTTGTGGATAAACAGACTTACTTTCTTTAGGAATTCAATGGGAATTTCAAAGAAAAAAAATATGGAGAAACCATAACTACTTCCCTTCTTAGTGTGTCCCAGGTTGTCAAGTGACATGAATCTTGCAGATTTGTATTTTATATGTGAACTAGCTTCAGCTTTTAAGGTTTTTTCCTCCCCATTATTTGATCTCCTTTTAGTCCCTGGCATATTTGCCTAAAGAAAATCTTCCAATGGTGTCGTTAGACCACCATTGGAACCACCTCAGCCACCATCTCAGACCTTGAGAGAAATGCCAAATGGACAGGGAATCCTGCAGCACTTTCAAGCCTCTGCCTGAAGGTGGCCCAAAACCATCTGACTTTGAGCCGCATGCAAGCACACATTCATCCTCCTCCTACCCCGCTCCTATCTCAGAAAGGAAACTGGGTTTATAGGTTAGTTTGATGGTGCTTCAGCAAAATGGACTGTTTTAAAACATATTTTGTAAAAAAACCAAATCAAAATACACAGGAAACCCTCCCCAAACAAACAACAACAGCAACAAAAAACATACCCCAAGCAAATCTAAAACCTTGCATGTTAATGCATTTTCACACTGTTTTCACCTGACCTTCTAATACAGCAGTTTCAGTCTTGAGTAATTTTCTGTTTTCTAGCCACAGATTTTCTTTTTGCTCAGACTATACTTGGGAGAGCAGTCCCGTTTGCTACAGCTGGAGATTGCTACAGTGCTGCCAGATGTCCACAGGTATTTATGAATATTTGAAATGTGCATTCAGGAGGAATAAAAATTAAAAAAAAAATCACTGGGACTGGTTTAGAACTGTAAGGCTTCAAAACAATCTCCTCTTCTGTCTAGTCTATAAAATTAATAGCTAGTTTTATTCTTAACCTCTTTCTCTCCTGTTTCACCATTTTTTCCCCCTATTTCTCCCTCCAGTTGTTTACTGCACACTTTCCCTCTAGGCTCCATGTATGTATAATCATCTTCCTACATTTTTCATGTTTTACTCTCCCTCCCCCTGGATTTAATGTATCCTTTGTTTCCCTAATCCCTTCTCAGTCTTTGTTCCCTTCCAGTAACTTCCCTTTTTGATAATCCTGCAGAATTTTTATCTTTTCTGGTTCTCTCCTGACTCTTCATATCTTTGAAGACTACCAGAGGAAATAAATCCTGTTTAGCAGTATAATTTAAAATTTATAGGTCCATTGGTGTGCTTGCATCTCTGTTGTCCCAATTTAGTGTTTATTGGTTCACATCACAGAGCAGTCTCGGAAGACATGAATAGGATGCTTTCTGGATGAAACTAAATCAAACAATGAGCTCCAGAAGGGCCTTAATGCACCCCAACTGCTAATAAGGATTCAGTCTATGGGACTAGATGAGAGTTAGTCCAAAGTAAAACCCCATTCTCTGTGCTGGATACAGACATTGAGCTCTCTGGCCCAACATCTTCACTCCACAAATCATACTGCCATGTCCTTCTTGCTAATGCAGACAGAGCCTTGGTCTGAACTAGTCTGCCTCCAATGGACTCCAGTCCATTGGCAGAAATGAGATTCCCTAGAAAAAAGTTCAGCTAATCTCACCCTATTAGACACCTTCAAATGAGGTCAGCCATTCTCTGATCCTCTGGAAATGCATATTTCTTTTCACTGATTACAAACAGAGTTAAGATCAACTAGCTCAGACTTGCATGGAGGTGAATCCCAGTTGTCCATCTATCCTAGGTGCTTAAACTTAAGACAGGCTCTGTGGGTGGATGCATTCTAGGGTAGCAAGGGACAATTTATGTACAATTTCAGTACAAATGAAGTATCTAAGTTAGGCAGATATAACCCCTGACAAGAAAACTGTTGGAGTTTATTACACTATCTTCAACCTGCAAACTCTTTGTGCTTAGTGTAATTCACATCTATGAGCCATCTGCCACTTCTGTTGGGAAGTCCTTCTGCTTATGTGGTTTTACAAGGATGCATTTCCATCTATAAGAACTGCACTGAAACCAGCACTTTTAATACAGTACAAAGGCCTCAGTTCCTGCACTCTCAGTTACAGAGAAGTGTTCTCAAAACAAATCTGCCATAATGAACAATAAAAAACTGAATTTTTATGAAGGAATTTCTCTGAATCACAATAAAGGCTGAATGTTGTACATTTATGCATGCACACATACATATACCCATGCAAATGCTTGCAGATATGATGTTAGTTCTGTATTCAGACTCTGTAGACAGATGCAGATGTACAGGTGCTGCTTACTGCAGGATAACTTCTTCATGTGTCTATGTCCTGAGTGTCAAAAAAAAAAAGAGAGTATAACACAGTGTAACTAATCCAGGTTAAGTACACACCTTTCAGTACTTAATGTCCAGATATACCCTAAGTGAGAGGTGCAGACATGCCAATGTGAAGTGGTTTAGTGTTTTGAACTCTGTTTGTCAGCTCTGTATCTTACCTTTTTTCTTTTTCCTTTTTTTTTTGTTAGGGACAGTTCAGCATTAATTTGGCTGGGACAGGTCTGAGATTATCCAGTACAGTTAGATGGATTGCTCAGGGCAACTATGCAACTTCTGACATACACAAATCACATGTAAGTCGATGTTGTTCTCCTTCACCTGCTGTTATGGCTTGGAATATTGTGCCTTCAGTTCAAAGATGTCCACCTTCTAAAAGACAGTTGTGAATCATAACACTCAAGGTCTCTAACCCATCCAAGTCTTCTTCCAGGTGTAATATGGTAACTAGGCCTGATAATTTACTCTTAAAGATCTCACACCACCCAGAATATCATCCAAATCAACACTGCCTGCCTACCCATCTCTTGCTGACTTTAAGAGCCAGTTGTCATACTAATCAAGTTTACTACAAGCTTTGAAGATATCTAATAATAATTTTAAAAAACCCAAACCCAACCAAATCACCTCAAAACACCATTTATCTAGAGACACCCTGCTGCCAAGGATCCTTATGGTTTGCTTGCCTCCAACTTGATTGGTATCGGAAACCAAAAACCAATCAAACAACAAAGGAAACCCATACAGTTTAAGACAACATTAAATGGTGAGCTTGGAAAGAAGGCATACAGTGATACTGATAAAGGATCTCTGTGCCTGTTTTCCTAATTTGATGCTGTCTCTTGATTTAATATTTGGAGGTAAAATTTGCTGAAAGGTCTTTTTTGTGCAAACCTCAGGGAGCTTTTTCGTGCAACTGTCATTTCAATTGCTTTTCTTGATTGACTGTTCTCTTTGTCTAATTCCCAGGATGGTACTAAAATATATGGAAGATGTGGAGGATTTTGTGGAAAATGTGTTCCTAACTCAATTATTGGTCTCCAACTTCAAACACAGTGAGAACTCTGATGTGGTAAGAGCATCAAAACAGGGACATCTGCCATTTAGGTGCAAATTGTAGGTGCTGTGTGTATATATATTTTATTTAATTCTTTCATCTCTGTAATGCTTATTACTGTAATGCTCACTACAAGAGAAGAATTTCTGTTTTCTTCAGTGTTTGTTCAGGGATCTGTCATCTGTTTGTGGGCTAGCAAGTGCATAAATCACAATCACAAACCTTCAGGCTTTAATGGAGAGGCATTCATTCAATGTACAGTAAACGCTAGCAAGTAAATTGCACTGAGGTTACTACTGTGGGTAATACCTGAAATTGTACCATTCTTCTAATACTGTACCTGCAACTAATCAGTGCAATTCTTTATGCAGTATTCAGTAAAATTTATACTCTACTGGTTTTCTTGATTAGCTATTCTAAAAAGGAAAGAGTTATTGCTATATATAGGAGACAGGTAATATTTCAGAATATTTCCAATTTTGTGAAACCTTTTAGGTATTATCTGTCAGTAATTTACAGAAGAAAATTGGGTAACCAGCATCCTTGAGAGGGTTTCTATAGACCTGTGTGTTCTCTGTCAGGACAACCATTTTTTCCCCATCCCTTGCGTTATATTCTTTGTGGTGCTCAAATACTAGCAGTAATCCTGAGAAGTCTGGTTTAACCCTTGCAGTCTCTATAGCACATGTTAAACATTAAGGCTTAGTTTTGTTGTGGTTACAGGAAAAGAAAATAAGGAAACAAATTACTTGGAAATCTGATTTTAAATCCCTGACTCTCATCCAAGTAAACTGTAAAAGCAATGTCTGTAAACTGTAAAAGCAGTGTAGCATATTGTATGTGATTATATGAATATATATTTACTTTAAAACTTTCCATGTACACCTTACCCCTTTATACTGGCCAGTGGCATATTGGTAAAGGCTGCAGTGTGTGTCCTTCTTATATTCCAATTCAGCATGTTTTTCAGTAACCTTTAGTAAGAACTCTGGGCAGAGGCAGCATCAAGCCCCACAGTGTGTTTGGTGTCCACCATTGGCTCAGTTTAATTTTTCGGTGGCTGTAAATACAGTTCTAGCATCTGCCAGTTAAAATTATGTCTTCCAGAAATGTAAAAGTATGATAATTATAAGGTTTAAAATATTACATAGCTCTTCGATTTATTGTTTTATATTAATTTACAGTCCAGAACTTTAGAAATATATGCAAAGAAACATAACACATTTCAGGGCCAACTCTCAGGTATACAAAATAAAATGTTCTACATGCATAATAACATGCATTATATACCAGACAGCAATACATGCTTTTTCTGACAATATGCATTCTGTAACCTAAGTATCTGTTTTGCATGCCAGTAAAATTGGTAGATCAAATGGCAGCTATATTATATTTTTATCCACAGAGTTAGCGATGAAGTATCGGTATGTATTAATTGAAAACAATACTGTACCACAGAAGTGTAAGCAGCTACTTTTTAGATAACACATGTAGGTAATTATTTTGTGATCTCTGCATCAGAAATGTATTTTTGCACTATGTGCCTTATATTAGTTGTAAACATTAATAAGAATACAAAATACTATTTTCCTATAAATGTTTACATTTATAATTAAAATATTGTAATTTATAAAATATTTATAAAAATATTACATAGCTCTTCGATTTATTGTTTTATATTAATTTACAGTCCAGAACTTTAGAAATATATGCAAAGAAACATAACACATTTCAGGGCCAACTCTCAGGTATACAAAATAAAATGTTCTACATGCATAATAACATGCATTATATACCAGACAGCAATACATGCTTTTTCTGACAATATGCATTCTGTAACCTAAGTATCTGTTTTGCATGCCAGTAAAATTGGTAGATCAAATGGCAGCTATATTATATTTTTATCCACAGAGTTAGCGATGAAGTATCGGTATGTATTAATTGAAAACAATACTGTACCACAGAAGTGTAAGCAGCTACTTTTTAGATAACACATGTAGGTAATTATTTTGTGATCTCTGCATCAGAAATGTATTTTTGCACTATGTGCCTTATATTAGTTGTAAACATTAATAAGAATACAAAATACTATTTTCCTATAAATGTTTACATTTATAATTAAAATATTGTAATTTATAAAATATTTATATAATAAATATGCTTGTGTGAATGGTACCAGAGTACTTTTGGGTTTTTTTTTCTTGAATGTTGTCAAAATATTTTAACTTGTTTAGACACGGAATTACTGCATTCTTAATAGCTCTTCCCAGTAATATGCTTAGACTTAACACTGGAATAACTGCCACACAGGCAGGTTATAGTCATATGAATATTTCCCAAGGAAGCAAATCCTACTTCAGAGGCACAAAGTCCATGTCTGTGTGCACTTTTGAGTCATCCCACATTCACTGACACCTTTCTTGGGAAGTTGCCTTGTAAATCGTTCACTGAAATAAAGCAGAAATCTGTAATAATCTTCTTCCTCCCTGTGCTAAACTCAGATCAATTAGTTTATAATATGGTCCCTCAATATCTGCTTTGGCAGAAGAGGAACTGCCATCCACCTCCATCTCCAGGAGGACCATTTTCTTTCCAGCACTGAAACTCCAGTTAAAGGCTAGGAAGCACTCAGCTCTACTGCCACAGAATCACTCTGAAAATACACTACCAAAAAAAGTTACATTTAACCTAATATTCAACACAGCACATTTTTGTTGGGTACTACTCAGGATTTTTGAGTAAAAAGGTATTTTTATACTTAGAGCAAACCCTGTGGTCCAACATCAACTTCTGCATAAGACCATTGTATTGTATTGTGTTGTATTGTGTTGTAGTTTTTTTCCATCTTTTCTTTCTTCTATCCTTGCTTTGGAGTTTCAGCTTTGGTGCTGGGACAAAGCACTTGTGTATTCTGGCATATGGTGAATTCTTTGTGCCAGAGAAAAAAAAAAAAAGAGGCTTAATCAATCACCCCATTTCAGCTTATTAACTTTTCATCTCAAGGGTAATTTAAAGAAAACATGAGCCTTATAATCAGCTCTGATGAATTTGGAGACGTGATGGTGCTGACATGTTAGAAGGTCCATGCAATAAAATAAGAATGATGGGTTACACTTGCATCGTTATGTTTCCATCTCCTTTAATTGGCATTGCTGTGGATTTCCATCATGCTGGGCAACTGAGATGTGTGCCAGAGCAGCATGTGCTCCATGACAGCACTGCAAGCTCCACCTCATGGGTCTCTGCATGTGCCAGGCTGCCCATAGCTGGTCACAGTCAGCTCTTCAGCTTTGGTTGATGCTTAGGAAATGAAACGCTCAACTGCCCTGTCACTATTCCATAGAGAAAAAAAATAATAATTAAGGAATGTTAATAGCTAAAGATGATTGTAACAATACTACCCATTAGATGTCTTCAATGATAACATCAAATATGAGGTAACACAACTGCACTCTCTTGCTTGTGTAAACACACACACACACACACAGAGGCATATAGTGCTTATCTGAATACTGACTTCCAAAGATGGACTAGGTGTAAAAAACGTTACTCACGTTTATCTAAGAAAATGTCACTCAGCCTGCTATGATGTGATGTACTGCCCTGTGGCAGTAACTGTGACATCTCTTGATGCAGACATCATGTCTTCATTATGTGTGGGCAGGAGACCTCATAGTGGCCTTCCAGTACCTGACGGGAGCTTACAGGAAAGCTGGGTAGGGGCTTTTCACCAGAGAGGGTAGTAACAGGACAAGGAGTAATGGCTTTAAACTAGAAGAGGGTAGATTTAGACTAGACATCAGGAAGAAATCCTTCACTATGAGGGTGGCAAGACACTGGAACAGGTTGCCCAGGGACGCTGTGGAAGCCCCATCCCTGGAGGTGTTCCAGGCCAGGTTGGATGGGGCTTTGAGCAACCTGGTCTAGTGGAAGGTGTCCTGCCCATGCAGGGGGATTGGAACTAGATGATCTATAAGGTCCCTTGCAACCAAAGCCATTCTTTGATTCTATGATCACCTAGATGTCTTTTGCCTTTATTTCCCTAAGGTGATACTGGGAAGGTAGCAGAGGAGCTGGAAACCCTGGCTGTGGTCCATGAACAGGTCTCTGTCCTGGGCATGGTCTTTTGTGCTGTTGTCCCTGTAGAGAGGAGCAGAATACACCCAGGTGTTTGCTCCGGGACGCACATAAGTATGCTGTACAATCAGGCAATCCCAAATTAAATGGGAAGAGTTGTGACTGTGTGATTTTATCATGTGTTTGTGTCTACACAGGTTTCTGATGGTCATCTATATTTCTTATCTAACTGAAAGGCTATCATGTACAGGACCTACTTCAAAAGATGAGGGAAGGCTTTGGGGTTTTTATGCCACTCCTGTAACTTGAAATTTATTTAGCCTAACTTCTCAATTTTGTTGAGGCTTTACGTAAGATTATTGTGGAGTGTGAGGGGTTGTTTTTTAGGATAGATTCCTGAAAATTTATGCTCTGTGACTATCAAAACTGAACTTGAAGTAGAACAAAAACATGCTAAAATATTTAAGCTTAACTTTAAAAATAGAGAACTAAAAAACTCTGTGCAAAAATAGTTTTGAAACAAGGTAATTGAATATCTAAATGGGAAATAAATGTAAAAAATTATTTATGTGAAGGACCAGACCTTTCGTCCTACTAATATAACATGCCCTTTAGGTCAGCAGTCATAACTGACTTAAAATGGCTGCTGCATCAGGCACTTTAAGCCCTCTCCTGTCTGCTTGCCTCCTCTGCCACATATCATCTCAGATTCTATGAGGGAGTATCCAGCCCCCAGGCAGGAGCAAAGGCTGGAAAACCACAACAGTGTGGCAAACAGCAACCCTGGCCAGGAAGGTGCAGCAGGACGGGAAGAGAGTCCCTGCCTGATTGGCAGGGGAGACCCACGAACAAGAGACTGGCCAACTGGGGACGAAGGAGCGAGTCCTGGAGAGCCATATAGAAACTGCCTGCCTGCTGCTTGTTG